GAGTTCTAAGTACATGTAGCAGAAATCAACTCCCCATAGTTGTTGGTATTAATGCAAATTATTGTGTTTTTCATATCAGGTTGGTGTCTTAGCTCCTTTTCTTACAACCCAAAAAGTTGCTGAAGAGTTTGATGCAAAGATCCTCAGTAAGTGAGAATTCACTTATGGTAACAATGAGCTGTAATGCCACAAATCATAGCGAGATGAAATGCCAACTAGTTAATATCATTTCATTACCTTCGTGGTCACACTAAAACTTTCTTAACAAGATAAGAACTTTATTGTTGTCTTAGTTGCCTATATATTGAATGTGCTAAAACAAAAAGGCAATGAAAATTTGATAAATGATAACTATGTGGAGAAAAAACCTGAAGCCGGCTAAAAATTTATTGATGGTCATGTGGCACACAGTTTTGAAGCGCACAAGTATCCAGAGGACACCAAAAGGCCAGGTATTAGAATTAAGGTAAAGACTACGTTTCAGAAGACATAGCTGTCGGAATTTCTACCTCAATAAAGTTCTCACATCTTTTACTACCACTGTGAATTTTACTGTCAATAATCAGGTAATCAATACTAACCGCACAACATGAACGGAGTTAGTTTTCATCAACAAAGGACTTTAGCTCTTTAAACCCATTAAACTACGTTCCCATACTGATTTGATCAAGAAACTTTTAATCTACAGAGTTTGACTCTCTTCAAGAAATGCAAAAAAATCTTAGCCAAGGAGCAATTGGAAGAGTATTGTTAGATCATAACACAGCATTGTACTTTCTGGATAAATTTGGTTCGAAACAAAGCAGACAAATTAGAATGATACGTAACATCGATTATCCGATGGAGTATTATCTGGGGCATGTAAGCCATGACGTTACACCACTTGCAACAAGGTCACCAAATGAAACCAATTACTCCGAGGAGCAACGATTTAAAAGAAAACAAGAACTGTCCAGGTGCGGGAAGAATTTAAAAGAATTATCTACAGACTTGGTCGCGGTTGCTAAGGAAACTGCAAAAGAGCAACTGTTATTCCTGCTGAGGTACTTCAAATGCAAATGTTTTTCTAACTGTTCTCTTATTTTGACACGTGCGGCCGTTCAGGATGAACACCAGTGCATTTGCCTTGACTCCTTTAGTTTTTTTAAGGCTTAACTTCTCGCAGACAACAGACTCATCAAGGGTTAGGGTAAGAAATAGAGGTTTAATTTCATTATCTCAAAGAATACCTAATCCATTTTGCCTCACCTTCAAATATTCCTTTTCCTCAAACTCGGGAGTCGATAAACTATAGGGAGTCTACGGTAACTTAAATGTCAACTTACTTGGGTCAATATAAACCGATAGTTTATTGGAAAAGTTACCACAGCTGATGATTTTTCCAAGTCCCTAGAAGTAAAGTAAAACATCATGAAATCGTACTAGTGGAACTAACAAGAACAGAACAATTTTAAAAATAACGCTTGAGGTCATTTTACTCGAGTAGAATAACAAATTGTGAAATGCAAATCATTTAGATCACATCTATGTTCTAAACACGAGTGTGTTTTTCTTCAACAATTTTCTGTATTTCTTTTGAAAGAAACTTTCAACTTTATCGAGAAATTCTAGTACAGAATGACTGAATCATAATATTTCCCTTCTTGTATTATTGATCTTTACAGAGCGCAAACCTGTCCGATGAAATGGAAGGGTTTTTTTCATCCGGCTCGAAAATGACCTTG